TGGACCGGCCATCGTCCAAAGTGGTAGGCAACTCGACGTCGCCAATCGCAGGGGGCCTTAACAACATAATGGACCAATGGAGGAAGACACCCCCTGCGATACTCCCCAGCCTGCCTCCGACCACTAGAGGCAGTCTATCGGGGAGCCCAGGCGAGAAATTAATATCCTTCTCGCCAGCGACGTCGCTACCGACGACGTTCACCACATGCACGGTGACGACGACCACCTGTGGAAGTCCAATTATATCCACGGGCTTCATAGGTGGCGTGGGGAGGCAAATAACACCACCATCTTGCCTCCCCCAATGGAACATCCTCCCGACCATCGGGGAGGAAAAAACGTCACCGTGCGTGGCGGTCACAACACTACCAATAGGCGGCTTCAGGACGTCCCCGCTCATCCAACCAAGGCCAACGACTCCGGAGCGCGGGGACAAGAGGAGCGGCGGCAAGAAAGCGCGGCGTCCACTACACCCATCGTCGAGGGGGACAAGCAGTGGGGTGGCCAGCGGACGGTAAGCGTGGGGAGAAGAACGAGGAGGCAGCAGAAACACGACAGATCCTCCTCCAACTCCGAGTCCCCGCCAACCGCTGGACCATCGCGTTCGTAGCGCATAGCCCTACTATCTGCATTAATTGCAGCGTCGACGAACCAGTACGACAAGAGTCTGAGTGTCAGCAGAACGAACGATAATACTTGTGAGGAAATAAGTCCGCCCCATAACATTTTGCCAGTAGAGGCGGAGCGACAACGCCGGGAGACATCGCCGGAGGACAATGAGGAGGAAGACGTCGGCCAGCGTACTGGAACGCAGGTAAGTGCCGAACATCCGAGTGCTCCCACATATGTTTGTGGTGTGATGTCTCGACGGGGAGCAGCCAAGTCACTCACCGTACCACCGCGAGCCGATCGTGAGGAGGGCGGTCGGCAGTATCACGGGCGGCGTCCGGACGCACCTGTCGGTCGCGGGATTACCCGGCGCCTGCGACTGTCGCGAGGCAGTGTAGGCGTGAGCGGGTAGCCGCCCGCAACGCGCTGCTCGATCGGGCTAAGGACGTCGCTACGATTGCGGATCTGGAGGCGTTCGCGGCTTCGATCGCGGCGTTCTTCGGGGAAGATGCATCGACCACTGGTGCTGCAGCTCGAGCTCGTGATCGCTCGGCGCGGTCACGGGAGGCGGATGCGCATCGGGGGGCGAGGGGAGGTGAACCTCCGAAGAAAGAGGGCGCCAGTGGGCCGGGGTCGGCGTCGGCCGGCCCCGGAGCGTCGGGAGAAGTACGCGGGGACTGGGTGCGCGAGGCCAAGCGCCTTCAAGCGCTGTACAGGGCGAACCGCCGTAAAGCGGTGCGAGAAGTACTCCAGGGGCCGGCTAATCGGTGCGGAGTGCCGAAACGCCGGAGTACTTTGAGCACCTATATAGCGGCGCGGATGCTCTGGCCGGCGTTGGCGAGCGCCCCGACCTCCCAAGTTCGTAGGAGGTGTCCTGGGTCCGCTCGCGGAGCGAGAGGTGGACCGTCGGCTCCGGCGTATGAATAATTTGCGCCGGGTCCCGACGGTGTATCCTACTGTGACCTTCGTGGGGCGGATCTGGGAGCGCGGCTCCTCACAGCTATTTATAACATCTGCTTGCGGCTCGAGGCGGTCCCCGCGTCCTGAAAGGGGTGATCCCGATTGATCACGGTTCGATTGGACAATCACAGCGACCGGTACCTAGGAGCTTTGTAGTCTCGAGCGCTGTGAGTGGCTCGTATCCAATTGAGCCGTGTTCAACTGGATGCCACCCGTCCTGGAAGACCTCCAACACTGTGTTAATTCACAAGAAAGGAGACCGGAACGTGTTGGAGAACTGGTGCCCTCTCGCTTTAGGGGACATCGTTCCCAAACTCTTCGCCGCGCTCTTGGCCGACTGATTGACCGACTGGGCGGTCACTCACGGGAAGCTCTGCTCCGTACAGAAGGCGCTTCTTGCGGGACGAGGAGTGTTACGAGTACAACTTCGTCCTGCAGGAAATCCTAACGCACACTAAGCGAACTAAGCGCCAAGCGGTGGTCGCGTGGCTGTACCTGTCCAACGCGTTTGGATCGACCCCGTACGCGACCATCCGCAATGCGCTTATAAGATCCGCGGTGCCACGGGGTCTCATAGCAATATGGGACTCCATGTCAATATACAATGGTTGCACGACGAGGGTGCGAACCGCCGAGAGTCACACAGCACCCATCCCCATCCGGTCGGGCGTCCGTCAGGATTGTCCGCTAAACCCTATTATTTTTAATCTAGCCATCGATTCGGTCGTCCGTGTGGTGGCCGTATCAGACGATGGCTATAACTTACACGAGCGCTCGTGGTCTGTACTGGCTTATGCGGACGACATTGCACTGTTTAAGGGTTCCCTCAAGACCGTTGACCTTAACATCCGTTAAACTGTCAAATTCTGGCTCAACCTCCCTCAGCGAGCCAGTGCGAAGGGAGTCTACATGCCCCCCTGTTTGGGAGGGTGTGGACTCCTGCCGCTCTCGGACCTTGCCGACGTCCTCACGGTAGCGTACCGTATGTTAACGGTTCGCGTGGGCGCCGTGAGGGAGTTGGCGTGGGAATCGCTGAGGGGAGTGGTTGGGCGCAGGATCGGCTACGCCCCTAGTTGCGAGGATATTGCCTCCGTCCTATCCGATTCGCTGGATGGAAGGATGAGGGGCGGAGGGGAGGCTTCGCTCTGGTCGAGGCCGCTGTTACTGCAGACACAGATTCTTTTCTTTCGAGAGAATCGGCTCCGCCGCAACTACGATTGGCGCCTGCGAGATGCGAGCAGGAGTCCCCTTATAATAACTGAAAAACAGACTCCGCGAAAAACTCGTAAAAACGCCAATCAATCCGGAAAAATAACAACACTAAGGTAGGCTTAAAAGGGACGAGATTGCGAAAAACATCATAAATGGACCTAAGTCACGCGATAATAAAAATTCAAGCTGTTGTCCGAGTTGTTGACCAACACTTTCGTCTTAAGAAAAACAGGCACCGCGTCGCCATAAAAATCATAAGAAACATGAAATAACTTCTCACGGCGTTTACTTAGCCATATTTTTCACGAGGATGAAGGAATTCATCACCCGCTTAAAGCAATCTTGCCCCTTTTAGAGAAAACATAAATCATTCCTTTTGTTCTCTAAACCCCTTTTTTTCAATGCACTTTAGATTAACAACGATAGGACATTTTAAAAATCATAAATCTCGCGCGACATTGCAACTAACTATTGCATCCTAGACAAAGGGCACTACGCCTTTTTTTCGGGGTATAAATAGAGGCCCCGTAGAAGCGCAGAGAGTCAGTCAAAATTTCAAACTAGCCGAATCCACGTTGGGCGTTCGCAACAATAACACAATTCAACTAGCGTCAGTTCGCGAAATAGTACGTTGTTCGAGTGCTCTGCCGATCTCTGGAATTCATCGAGACCACCCACCCGCCAACTGCTATCCTTGGCCGCTCTTGCGTGGACGTTGAAACCTATTCTCTTGTCGAACGAACATCTCACGCATCACCACCAGTAAGTCCATCCAGCCTACAATTACACACACACCCTTTTATACGCCCCCCTTTTTTTCGTATCAGCGCGTACGCGACCACACACACACACACACACACACACACACACACACACACACACACACACACACACACACACACACACACACACACACACACA